GCGATCGGGCCTCTGTTAGGCGCTGCTGAGCCCCCGGGTTGCACCGGGGTCGGGGGTGCCGGAGTCCGGGGCGGGCGGCTGAAGCGCTTAAAGGCCGTTTTCCGGCGGAGAGGATCCGGGGCAGAATGCTTGGCGCTGAGGCCGCGAAGCCAGCTCTGAGCCAGGGAAGCCGCTAAGCGCAAGCGCTGGCGAGCAGTTCTGTACAAGCTTGTTTTCATCACTTACCGGCCTCGAGTTGTGGCTCGGGGAGGGTTTCTTCTGTTCCGTTGCTGTCCTTCCTCACTGAAGTGGAAGCGGTGAGCCAGGAAGGTAGCCTGAGTTCGCAGCTGCCGTTCAGGATTTTCTGCTTAGAGCTCGCAAATGGACTGGTGAGTTGGAAGAACCTGCAGGTCTTCCTTAGTCCAAGCTGCCTCACGAAGTGTCCCGTGTACCCAGACCTTTGGCCCTGGAGCGGTCAAAGGTAGCTCCCACCACCAAACGTCGGTCCCACGCCGAGGCTACGTCAGACGCCCAGCAGTGGTGATGTGGGACGACACTGGTCGGGCGCTAAGGCCGAGGATGCTTCAGGGTGCCCTTCAGCTCAGCTGCTTGTTGACTGTGAATCGGTGGGACTGTTGAAAAGCCATTGGCATTTTCTTCGTGTGAGCTCACAGGTCTGCCATTCCGGCTGTACCAGCCTGGCAGCTTTTGGCTTTATAGAGGTTTTATATTTGTGGAGCGTCAGGTCAACAACTTGGACAACATCGAATTAACACCAGTTCTAACAGGTGTGCATCTAACTTACTTGTAAAAACCTTCAATAAAGCTGATTGTGCCCAATCCTGTCTCCATATTTCATGACCTGAAAACCAAAATTAAGCTTATTCTTTTTTTTATTGTCCTCTTCCCTCTGGACATGCAAAAAAAAATGATAGCTATAAAGAGAAAGGAGTTTCTTTATATATTGTGAATATTATATCTACCTTTTCCACATGAAAAAAAACATGTTTTCCATGTTCCCTTGTCAGTAATTTTTCTCCTCTTTTTTTTTCCCCCTCCTCCGTACTTCTCCCAGTTTCTCAACATCATTTGTAAAGTGTGGAGTCCAAAACAGCAGTTCAAAAGAGTCATATGAGTATCTTCAGTCTTGCTCCTCTCTGAATGTGATTTGTTTTGGTTTTTTTTCAACAGCATCTGAATTTTATTTTTCATTCTAGATTGCTATTCTAGATGGCTACTACCCAAATGTATCTATATGTTTGGTATCTCTTTATTAAGCACTGTTTTTCCCTTTGCTAAATCTCAGTAGTTTTGATCAGGGCCACTCAGTTTGTCAAACATTTGATTTTTTTCTTTTTATTCCATCTCAGCCATTTTGTTACCCAGGTTATTCATAAAAATAATGAATAGGTCTTCCCTGGACAGGACAGAGCGTTGGAAAGCAGCATGTGAAATTTTCTCCTGCTTTAAAAACCCTTTACACATGGAAGAAAGCCACTTTCCCATTATTTTATGTACAAGAAGTGAAGTTTCAATATAAATGTTTGTTAATTAACAAATTCCTATGCAGAATGAGTTCTCTCAGAAAAACAGGGATTTGCCTTGTTTCCTACGGAGGTTAAGGTTCTGTTTTCACATATCTGTCTATGGGGGAGGTCTGCCTCTATGTTCCCTGTCCTAATAATGATCATGAAAGCTGGCATTTGGATGGAGTAGAGTACCTTGGCTGAAGGAAAAGCTGCACTTGGGGTCAGCGGTTAAACCCAATCAAGAATTCACACTAAAACAAGTTTTCCTAAATGCTCCCTCTAATAGGTAAGCCCTTCAGCTGGCGTTCACACTCTTCACATGGGTTTGTGTGACCTCAACCACAGGAAACAAAGCTGCAGGAAACCAGGCTGCAAGCAGGTAAGATTTCATCCAGTACAAATGAGGGCTGCTGCTAATAGAGATGGGGCAGCTCTGCCCCCGCTAACCCGCTCTTGGACCCTCCCTTGTTCTGGCACTATGACAGTCATCTGCTGGGTCAGGGAACTGGAGTGGCTAAGCTTTAATTTTTCCATATTAGCTTTCAGGCAAATCCATTCTTGTCCCACAGCCACACAAACTATACTTTTGTGTGCTTTGACATGCTTTTGTATGTTTTTGACAGCTTTGCCAGATGGATCAGACCTCTGCCCAGCAGTCCTCACTTCTCAAAGAGGGTCCCATGGATGTGAAGGCTAAAGCCCATTCTGTTACACCAGTCACACTGACAGGTATTGACTCAGTCTCCTCTCCTACAGGACCCTCTCCCTTGGCTGCAATGGGAAATACGAAGGTGAACTGTGTGGGCTTCTGTGTCCTTCACCTTCTCCTCCAGAGCCCTGCAGTCACTCATGACATGCTCCAAATCTCCGCTGGTAGTATCAGATATTCCTACACGGTTGAGCCACAAAGGGTGTTATTCTGAGGGCTGGTCAAGCCTTGGCAATCTCTCCTCAACATCCCAGGGTAATAAGTTTCAAGTGTATTTGATGGGGACAGACTTTTTAATAGGGCCTGTAGCAACAGGACAAGGGGTAATGGTTTTAAACTAAAAGAAGGTAGATTCAGACTACCTATAAGGAAGAAATTTTTTTACAATGTGGGTGGTGAAACACTGGAACAGGTTGCCCAGAGAGGTGGTAGATGCCCCATCCCTGGAAGCATTCAAGGTCAGGTTGGATGGGGCTCTGAGCAACCTGATGTAGTTGAAGATGTCCCTGCTCATTGCAGGGGGGTTGGACTGGATGACCTTTAAAGGTCCCTTCCAACCCAAACCATTCTGTGATGCTATGATTCCGTGATTCTGTTTACCTCACTGATGGGATTTGGTCACTTAGTTTCCAAACTATGTGATCTTCTAGATTTCAGGTTTGACACAAGCAAAATTGGCCTGGCGTGATTGAATTAAATCTGATCAGAAAAGGGAATTTCCTTTTTCTAAAAGTGCAGATTGCTGATGGGGAGAAAATACAGACACTGCAGAATTTCCAGTGAAATGAGTGGGTGTCTTTATTACCACTGCTTAGCCATCGAACAGCCTGCTGATGTGACTGACAGTTCAGAGAGAAGGCAGCCCTACCTGTTTCTGCTCTGGCAGCCTGGTAAGTCAGGCAGGTAAGCAGCTTGCAGGTGACCCATGTGGCAGGGCTATGCCACGCTGACTGGCTCTGTGGCTGTTCGGCTTGGGTCAGCAGCTGCACAGTGAACAGACAGCCAGGCCTCTTCTAGTTAGCCAGGCAGCTGGCGGTGCTGGAGAAGCTTTGCATGTGCACATCTGTGGAGTATTTCAGTCACTTGTGATGCTACTGTTGGGATGGTTTTGGAATCGGTGTTTGCTAGAGGCTTGCAAGGATAACATGCGAGAATTTATTGCTTGTGCTATCCCATGGTAAATACAAACTAATTTGCTGCTGGGTAAGAGACTATATGCCTAAGTTATTGAGTGTTATCATCTGTTCTGCAAATCTGAGATGCCTCCAACTAGAGATTAAATTATTTTCCTCCAAGTTATGTTTAACATACATTTGTTTAAATGTTATTAAGAGGCATGTAGGTAAATAGGTAATGTATTTTTAAAAAATTTTTACCTCTCGCCCGTCTAAATTTCTGTTTTCTGGAGAAATGCATATCTTCTTCTGTTAAGCATTAGTACTTTAACATAAAGCTACCATGGACTCAGTCTCACTTATTAAAAAAATTATTAGCCAGGAGATATAAAAGAAGCAGTGGTTATTCAATATTGAAACATAATGCTTGCGGGAGGTTGCTTTGCTTTTGGTTTTTTGTTAATGTTCTCTTGAATAATACATTACCTGTTAGTGATTTTATATAACATGCTTTTTAGAAATATGATGAAATATTTCACTAAGAAGACAGTATTGGGATAATATTCTGGCAAATTTGATACACCTGAGAAAACTAGAGTTTGCTCTTTTTTCTGTGTCACTCAGTTTTTCCCTAAATTTCCATCATTTATCACTGTGCAAACTCACTTGGGGTTTATAGCAAAGCCTTAGGCTTTGCAGAATCCTTACCACTAACAGTACTGTTTAGGAAAGAGCCATGGAGACATCCAAAGCTCCAGGTGCTCTGCAGAGCAAAGCACTAGACGGGAATTTTTTACGGAAACTAAAACACAAAAGCAGAACCCTAGCGTAATATTTGAATACAACCACACTTTAATTATAATTTGCATTGTATAATCATTTAACTGTTAGAAGTCAATCTCTACCGGCTTTTCAGTTTAGCTTAAAATTTTTTAAATCATGCCTTTGTGCTGTTAAATTATTTATACAGATGCTGAGTAGGAAATGTTATTTCCTGGTGCCTGGCTTTATAATCTGTCTGTATGTACTTTTTCTGAAAGTTTATTGTATGCTACAGTTTATCTTATTTATGAATTTTATTTAATAATTTTTAGAATATTAGATTTTTATTTTACTGTCCAGGTTTCAGCTGGGATAGAGTT